CTATGGGGCTCTTTAGTCTAGAAAAGCACAGGCTCAGGGGTGATCTGATGGCCAGTTTATCAGGGGTGACCACCAGTATCTGGGGGAACGTTTGTTCACCAGAGCACCCCAAGGGATGACGAGGTCCAACGGTCATAAACTACTACAAGACCGTTTCAGGCTGGACATAAGGAAGAATTTCTTTACTGTCCGAGCCCCCAAGGTCTGGAACAGCCTGCCATCAGAGGTGGTTCAAGCACCTACATTGAACACCTTCAAGAGCAAACTGGATGCTTATCTTACTGGGATTCTATGACGCCAGCTGACTTCCTGCCCCTTGGGCTGGGGGCTGGACTTGATGATCTTCTGAGGTCCCTTCCAGCCCTAATGTCTATGAAATCTATGAAAATCAGGTATCAATTTAAAATGAGTGTTATAGAGGAATAGTGCTAAGCAAAAGAGCATTAAACAGGGGTAGCCTGTATATGCTATCTTGTACCAGTTTAACGTAATGGAGAGAATTATTTTGAAAACTAATTTCCTTCTTGCATATTTTGCCTATGAGCAGTACTTACATAACAAATAGCAGCTAGCTCCTGACGCAGGTTACTTGCTTCTAGGCTTGATGTTGTTTTCATTGGATTTACACCACTGTCATATACTGTAAACTTAGTTCCCATAAGATTTGATCTATCAAAAAAACAGGAAGATATATTACCTTTGTCAACAACACAGTCCAACCTATCCAATTCATTATCATATCAAAGTCCCAAATGGTCATAAAACCATGAAAAAACAAACATTTTAACTGCAAGTAAAGAGGTAATCTGAATTCCCAAATCATCATGTACTCTTGGGACAGAGGTGCTGAGTATGTGGGGGCCCAATGGCCCTGGCCCACCTCGGGAAGAGGGTTGTCACCTGAAATGTGTAAAACTTTCCATGTGTCCATCATCTTACGCCCCTCCCGGAAAAAATAAAAGTTGGTGACTATGCCTTGGGAGGTAAGCTATAGCAAAAAAAATGTAGTATAGTGAAGGTCCATATTATCACACTAAGCTTGCAGAACTGTCATGAAGTCTCTTAATCAAAGTACAAGAGCACAATAAAAACTCATCATATATAATAAAGCCATAGTTACTTTTTTTAGCCACTAGTGCTATCAAACAACAACTTTCATATATAGGCAAATTTTCTATATATATTTGCATATATGTGAAAAGATTTTAACAACATTAATTTCCCTCCATTTTTCTTTAAATGGAGATCATAAAATGTGCATGGCAATAAACTTTGAACTTATCATCATATTATTCTGCACGTGTTTTGTGACGGTCTTAGACGCTTGGGTTCTAAGCACAAAACACTTACAGAAACTTGGGTTCTGGTGTGCTAAGCACTGTACAAGCATATAGTAAAGAATACTATGGTCACTGTGCCAAGGAACTTACAGTCTGAGTGTCAGATGTGGGGGGAGTGGAGAAGAAAAGTATATACACTTCCTCTTATAAATAACACTACTTAGTATCTTTACTAAAGGGAAAAAGACAAGAGAACTCAAAAGTGTGTAAGGGCAGACTTTCAAATGCATTTAAATCAGTAGGAATCAAACCTTTACCATGCTTAGGCATTTTTGAAAATCCCATTAGGCCAATGGTTCTGAGCCTCATTACACTCCAGACTCCCTTTAGAAAATGCTATGGATTTATCTTAGGAATAATGCGTAGGTGTTTGCACATTTAATTCTAATATTTAGAGGCACCTCACGGCACCTTTAAAAGGTTCTTGCAACAGCCCACGGTCCCATGGCACCCTGATTGAGAATTAATGCATTAGGCATTTCTGTACATTATTAGATGCTAAAATACCTTTGACACTCTGGCCTTCAGTGCCTAAAATCACCTTTGAACACAGGTCTTACATTGCTAAGTCACTAACATAATTTGAAAATGTTATGCACAGAGTGGAGTCACATGGTACACCAAAACTGTAATGAGGAGGTTTAAGTAATTTGCAGGAAATTTAGTTTCAGATAAACTGACTATTCTGCTAAGAAAATAAATTTCATCTTCTGGCCATGTATTTTGGGTGGTTATATGTTTACCTTAGCTTTCCAATGAAACTCTCTCCACCACGAGACAGGTCAGTTGGGTCTATGGAGATGAGGTAATTAGAGGTTTTGCTCTTCTTTCGTTTCCTTCCAGCTAATAGAAATACCTAAGGAAGTCATAAAATGTCACATTCTGGAATATCAAAGACAGCCTGACCCACACCACTCTGTCCCCAGTAAAAGAAACCATGGGCAATGCTTCTGTGGTTCAGCATTGTCAGCAAAGACACAGAAGGTCACCAGAGGATTAGCAAAAATGGGTAAAAACCAGAAAGGGACACTGACTGCTCAGCTCCTCAATCCATTATTTATGGCTTAAATAATTAAACCCAGTACACTTTGTTAAATGTTTAATTCCAGCTTGTACTGGTTTCTCCAAGGGAACTGAAAACAGATGCCCTTCAGGTCATACAGGGCAAAGAACCCAATTGTCAACTATTATGTTAAGCTGCCAAGAAATGACTCTTTTATGGCCACGTAGTAAGATAAAGAAGAGGAAAGTAAGTGGATTGTGGTGATAACATTGTTTAGTTTGATTTACACTGCATAGGACCAAGCTTTTAGTCAAAGGAGGTCTATAATTATACTTTCTGGGTACAAGTCCTGAAAGCACATTTTATCATATTAAATTCAGGTGCAACTGGTATGCCATTTAAATATATTCTATGACCTTTTTACCGTCCTCCCTTTCCAAGTGGAGGTAATAAGTGGGGTACATTCCTCGATCCATTCCCTTCTTGTCTCTTGTGATTCGGCATTTGACTGTGACGCCCTGTGGAGCGGGTCTGACAGCAAATTCTTCCAGATCATCAACATCTATGACAGCTTCATTTGTGGAAGGGCTGGGTGCTGAGGCTGCTTCCTGAAAGAGTAACAGAGTTTACCTTGAGGTTTCCCCATGTTTCCCTCACAGTTACAAAGGGAAGACTGAAAATAGGAAAAAATGTAAAAAAAAAAAAGAAAAGAAAGAAAGAAAGAAAAGATGGTAGAAGTCACTTCAAACAAAAACAGGCCACACTGTCTCCTGCCCAGCCACAAATGGGTGGGATATGGATACAGCTGCTCAGGTAGAAATCTCCACTTGTTCCATGGGCAAGAGCTCTCAGCTGATGTGAAGCTCATGCAGGAGGCTCTAATGCCAGCTCTGCCTGTACAGAGGATCAATTAGGAAAAAGAGTAGCTCAGCGATTCTTAATCAGAGTGCAACGACACCCTGGGGTGCTAGGAGATTCTTTGAAGGGGACCACAAAGTGTGAGGAGAAAAGTGAGGTGTGAGAAGACAAGCAGGTAAGGGGAGGCTCGCTCCTGCCTAGCCAGTACCCCACCCCACTGCCTAGCCCCTCTCAAGCACTGTAATATGTAAATTAGATTTTAAAATCAATTGACAAAAGTTATGGAGGGATGCCTGGTCTCCGCTGAGGGGTAATTTGAGCCCAAACATGTTGGGAACCACTGGAGTAGATGCAACTGGAAATTCAGGCTAGGTACAGATATTCAGAAAGCCCAAGGTGGAATCAATCTAAGTTACGTGTGGTTTTCTGCAAGCGGTGTAATTTGGACCCATAGCAAACAGAACACACATTCACCCTTTGGTGGTGGGGGAAGCAAATCCTAGACTGGGTTCTGCCATTTTTAAACCAGTCTGTGCGCGCCAAACTTCTGTTCTGTTACCAGTTTCTGATCACTTATCCCAGTAAAAGTGTGATGTCTGTACGTGGCCTTTGAGTCATAACCAGCACTAAACAAACTCCAATTCAAATCCCTAGATCCAAACTCCCTCCCGTTTGTATTTGATGATAGCGGATGTTTTTAGGTTGGTGAAAGGAAAAGGGAATTCTGTACAGGCATGGAATACACTGGAGGAAAGACTGGGAATGCCAGCAGAGATATGATAATACTCTACCCATTGCTCATCGAAGAACAGAGAGCAGAAAGCAGTTTCAGCAACCATCAGAAGTGTCTGAGGGTTTGGCCAATGTTTTTGATTTATAAGGTGTAAACTTTTTAAACTTGTAACTTACCTTTGCATACCAATAACAGGAGCAGTGACAACTACAGAGCAAGAAAACAATGCAGCCATATATCTATCTATATCTATAGATACAGATATCTATATTTGAACAATTTGATATTTACCTATTTTTCTGCCTCTTCATTCAAGTTCAGCAATATTAGCAATATTTCTATTTCTGAAAATACCTGACTTGACTTGTCAATTAAATTAGCTCTTACTTTTAGGCTGAACCTTTTTATCCATTCCTATTTCTTGCTTTCAGAAGCCCCTTTCTCATTCATCCTTTTCTTGTAACTTCTATAAGCCCTGTGATGCACTGCATCAAATCACCCTCAAGAGGCTTTTGTCCATGTTAGCAACCCTGGCTTTCTGACCTGGAAACCAGGCCATCCCTATTAATCAATAGGCAACACTGCTACTGCATCTCAGTCTCCTCACCTTGTTCGATTTTTTGCTTGTTGCAGAACCAGGCCGGGTGTTACTGTTTAACTGGGAGGAACTTGAACTGTCTTCATCCTCTTCATCTTCTTCTTCGTCAAAATTCATGCTGCTGGAAATACCTGAGGAGCAAGGAGCCAAATCTATATAAAACAGAAATGTAGTAAAACTGCCTGCTCAAGTACACAGTACAAACTCTTGTTATGTATGCTGTTGCTGCAGGCAGAGGCAGGACCCCAGCATTCTCGACACTTTACCAACACATGGTATGAGACACAATCTGGCATAAGCAGCTGACAATCTAGATACACAAAACACAAAGTCATGGATAGAAACGAAGTATCATTATCTCTGTTCTAGAGGCTGATGTGATTTACCCAAGGTCATACAAGAAGCCAGGAATTTAATCCATATCTCTCAAGTCCAATCTCATGTCTTAAACATGCCACACATCCCTACTTTTGCAACTGGACCTGTGTGCAGCTCCTTTCAACTACATGCAAAACTTAAAAATCTCTGTACATATTAGATATATAATATGTGTATGTATTACATATATTATGTATAATATGTCCATATGTTATATACGTGTGTGTGTGTGTGTGTACACACACATACATATACAATTATATATTTGTATACACACACACACTATGTCTGCAGAGATGACATTATTATAAGTAAATTATGACCTCTATAAAATCAGGCTCTGTAGTCATGCATGTTTGCTTTGGGCAAAAATAATGAAATAAGCCCAGGACAGAGGGGTTCCTTCTTAGCATTTATTTATGTCGTGTTAATAGTCTGAATTAGTTCTGGGATGGCCCAACCACCAGACCAGTGAGATTATGGAACTTGAAGACCAAGTCAGGCTTGGAAGTAGGAGGTATTGCTAAGAAGTATTGCTAAATTGCTGGGAAGTCTACCAGACCTAGTTTTCCAATAGAGTTTTATGACGGTAAAGCTGTTTTTTTCTTTTGGTCCAAGTCATAAGTTGCAGTTGTTAGATAGATGACAATGTGCTGTATTTTTTCCTTCCTAGTTTTGATTCAGACTTTCCAGTATTGTTAAATCAAATACAGAAGCATAAACAGGACAAATGGTAACTTAAGTCCTTGTAGCTGAGAAGTAGGGGCAAAATGAACTTTTTCCTTTTGTACTTACCTGGAGCATGATCCAGGGCCACAAGACTGGATTGGGAGGTGGAAGTGGACCAGGATGTATTTGCATGGGGATCTGGGAAAGGAAAAAATCCATGGGCTTCATTCTGCAAACCCATAATCATGTGAATAATTCTTACGTGTCAACCAGATTCATCACGTGACTAAGGGCTTGCTGGATGGGGCCACATTTATGCTGCCATAACTCTCAACTAGTTTTTATAAAGAAAGAAACAGCACACTTTGAAAAAAAATGACTTACATCGGCTGAAGCCTGTTGTCATTTCCCTCCTAGTATTTTGAATTAAATCAGGAGGAGCTGAATTGTGAAACTAAGGTTCCAGAATGCATTATTCATGCCAAATGGCTGGGTTGTAAAACTTCCTGAACATTTTGTGCATGTCCTTCACAGTGAGTCTTTGGCCTACTTCTGAGTGTTGGCATGCACGTATGTAATTTATAGATGCACACTAATTTGATGGGAATGTTTATTCATTTACACTTAAAAAAATACTTAGTTTACAACAGTCAAAGACTGAACTGAATGAAATCAAACCAATCCAAACCAAACCAAACCCAAACCAAACAGACATATATTACAAGCTGAACAACTCCTGGTAATTTTCTCGCATTTGAATTTTGACACACAGTAATATGGCATGCCAGAGAGCCTTTTTAATGCATTTAATTTATTTATTTTATTGTGACATCCTTATTAAAATGCCTTTAGTTAATGTTGACGCCAGGGTTAAGCTGGACAAAGAAATAACGCACGGAGCTACAAGTGGATGTATATGGCTGAAATATTCCTAAAAAAATACTAAACAATGTGTAAGGATGTACAACAGGTGTGGTTCCCTCAACCCACTGCTTCAACTCCCCTGCTTGGAAAACAAACAATACAAGATGGAGTCAAAGAGCCTCCAACACTATGCTGTATGTAGGGGAACCAAAGTGACTACTCAAAGCTTGAAGATCTAGACCCATTACCTTTCACCAGTCATGAACATGGACTGACCCACACAGAGTATTGTTAATGGGCCCTCTATGATTCCCATTACAAACATTAAAAACTACTTAACATGAGCCAATTTTTCGAATGCTGGCATCCAAATTATATCACAGCTTTATGTGTTCAGAATACTTTCCACATCCCAAATTGGTGATTGTGGATAAAAGCATGTATTGAAGTACATTAAAAACACATAAGCATAAAGAATTGTATTCTGTATTTATACCTGTTTTGTACACTCTTCAAATTTTGCTAGTGTAATTTGTGCCTCTGTCTGAGAAGCTGGCTCTAAGTATCTTCTATAAGGAGCGATTTAAATAACTCCTGTTTCAGTTTTGGCCTCAGAGAACAAAATCTACTGCTGTCCTAAATCTCAAAATAGCCGCAAATTTATTCCTACCCAGCAGTGAAGAGTTAAGACTTTTCAGACTGCTACATTCCAAATTGTTCCAATGACATTAATGAATCTGGCAAGGGAAAGAACAAAGGTGTTAGCTTTCCAGATCTTTTTTTTTCTACAACAGGAGGAAGCGTGTCTTTGTTCAAGTGACTCACTCGCCAAGAAGGAATTCTATACATTACGGCTGCTGAAATCAAATGGCAGAATATTTCCCCCAGGAAGAGAATGATTCTAGTTCTGGCACCTTGTGGAATATGGGGAAATCAAATATAACATTTGGCATTTTCTTACAAGGAGATTATTCTCTGTACACTAATGTATTCTAAAACCTATCATATCATAATTGAAACAGACTTGCTTGATGCTCCCTGGGGAGCAGATATGCATCTGTTAATAGGGGACTCTCAGCACACAGTTATGTCAAACAGCAGACGGGTTCAAATCAGGGCCAAGCAATTTTAGCAACAATCAGCATAGCTTTTCCTTCCAGGCCCATCCATCAGCATTCCCTTAAGCATGCCTTTCCCCTACCCAAACTTGTACAGAATAAAGATGGTATGTGAATAATTGTTCTCAAAATACCCACAGCAGTATGGTTTTGTAAACCCATGGTGACATGGCAACAAAGGTGTCCTGGAAGCAATGCAAAAGCACTGGGCCTCTACATGAAAGCTCCAACCCTAAATAAATGTTGCCAGGGATTTAGGGACACCCATGGGTTGGAAAAACTGTCTGCAAAGCTGCTAACTTACTTCACAGTGCCTCATACCGCCTTCTAACAGGTATACCCTATATACCTCCATTTGTTGAGACCCTTCCTAATACCCTCCTTAGCACATTGCACTGATAGCACAAGAGTCACTAAATCCCAGAGCACTCTCATTCAAATACATACCCTCACACAAACTAGTACTGTGCCCCAAGTGTGCCTGTCTGAGCAGGGTTACTATTCTGATCATGAGTACATTCAGAACACATGAGAAATACATTTAAGGAGTTTACAATTCAGACAGCACCCTAAAATCAAATTAGGAAAATTCACCCAGGTTTGGTGAAAGCAAAAATGCATTTTATACATTTATTTTACCTGGGAAGCCAAAAGAAAATAGACTTCCCCCCAAAAATAACACCCATTGGTTTGACCAAACTGAAAAGTCTACTTATAATTTTTACAGCAACCAGCTTTAGTGAGTCACATACTGGGAAAATAAATATTCCGAGCCTTACTTTAAGTGACAATTACCATATGGGTCAGAACTTGTTAGTCATCTTGATGTCCTCTGGATCAAAATACTCAGGAAATTTCACATTTGGAGAAAACCTGCTCATTGCAGGCAGAGTTGTTCATATCTGCAGTGTGAAGCTTTTGAGAAAATGAATCTCAGTGAGACTGCTGAACGAAAAGAAACTAGCATTTAGGTAAGAATAATCTATTCTGCATCAATCAAGCTTCCACACACATTTTGCTCTTTGTTGAATCTAAGTATATTTTTAAAGCCCTGGTTTGTGTCTGCAGAACAGTTCTGGCTCAAACCATCTTAACTTCAAAGGCTGCACACTGCAGAAGCCAAGCCCTTAAAGCAGATGGTTTCAGATAAAAAAAAAAAAAAAAAAGCATTGTGAAAATTTCAAGATTACTTTCCTCCTGATGCCAGTGTTTGATGACAGGTAATGCTGCTGCAGAAAAAGAGCGCGCACGCACACACACACACACACACACACACACACAAACATGCATGCATGCACATGCATGTGCACACATATGCATGCGCGTGCACACAGTCATTTCATTCCAAACTGCAGCTGTCCTTGAAAAAAAACTCCTGAACAGTTGAGAGGATTGCTGCCAAGAACAGGCACAAAGTGTAATGCGGTACAGTAGTACACAGAATACAGCTGTCATTGTCACCTTGGTGAACATGAACCTACAATAGGAATGTTTTAGCAGAACAGGATTGATAAACCAAAACTTAGTTTGCCTTCAAGTTTAAGTTCAATTGCTTGAAATCCCTTTTTTCAGCATTAACACATGTTTCAGTGTCTTACAATTCAGATTGTTAACTCATGGGCATGAGCTTTAACATCTGCCTCCTCTCTTGACAGCAGTGCTGCACTGTGGTATGGCAAAGCCAGGTCTCAGACTGTGTAGAAGTCCCTTGCTCCCCAGGCCAATGGAGAACTTCATTACTATTATGGAGAAAATATTGAGTACTGAGGAAAGAATGATGCTTTCTTCTGGCAGTAGAGACTTAAAGGGAAAGTATGAAGGATCATAAAGTCTCTTAGTTTGAGAATAGAGCAAAGTGTCAAGATACAGATCAGAATAAGTAATACAAGCAGATAGTTTTGGTTACTTACCCTTTTTCTGCATTGTTGCTCTAAGGTCCTGCTTGCTTTGTTGCTGGCCACTAGCCGTCATCTCTCCATCACCCTCATCGTGGTTAGATTGTCCAACCGTAAGAATCTGAATTTGGCTTCCTATCTCCTTAACCTCATCTTGAAAAGCAGCCGGGCCATCAATTCCTATCAGACAACAGCAAAATTCTAGTTGTTGTTGTATAAAAGAATTACTGAAAAACTAACAGTTCACTCAGAAGTACTGAGAAGTACTTATCTAAGAAAGGCAAACTCAGCAGTCCATCTGAAATTATATTTTCATGACTAAAATAGCTTCCAAAGCAAATAACTCACTTCCACAAGCACTCCCAAGCCTTTTAGTTTGTTCCCAGAGCTCAGACATTCTCTCTGCTATGAGAGAGCTGTGACCCAAAATCAAGTGTTCTGAGTTTTGGCACACATGAGAGTTCATAGAACAAACCTACTTAGCTTCCAAATGCTACTGTCTGACACTTCCACAACAAACACCCTCGTTAAATCCGGTTTAGATTTTATTGGACCAACAAATGTCAAACATTTCTTTTGGTTAGCTGAGTTGTGGAAGCAACTGGAATGTGTGTATAACTATGGGTCTGAGGACAGTGAGAGACAATAATGAGATGAGTTTTTCACTTCTAGCCTGCAGACTTTTAATTTAGCATAACTGTTTCCATGAGAAATAAAGACCTCGTTTTCAGTGTATTCTGGGGATGTAAAACAGATCAGATATTGCAGAGATTTTTGCATATAAAAATGCTAAATATAAAAAGTGACAAGCTGAATTTCACATAAAAACGGCACATGTCAAACAGGAAAGATGCAGAGAAATTCACACTTACAGAGTTTTTCACTTAAATTATTATGAGCCTTGTTTCTTCTCTGGAGGTTTAATATGCTACCAGAACCCCAATGTCCAGTGTGCATCTCACTCCTTCAAAAGGGGCAGTCTATACACTTATATAATTTGGTGCTATATTTAGGTACTTTATTCAGCTCCTAGTTGTCTAAAATGAGGAGTTAGGCACACAAATGAAGATGCAGTTGCTCAGCTAGATGTGCCAATGTTTATAAACAACTTTATTATAATGCATTATTCATATTACAAGAATGTCTAGAGATCCCAACCAAGAGCTTGGCCCCATTGTGCTGGGCTCTGCATATTACTTACACCCCCCCCCCCCC